GCGGGTCAGCCTGGCAAAGGCCTGGACAAACCTCAAGGGCACAAAATTGTTCCTAATGTCCAACCTCAACCTTCTCCAGTGCAACTTGAGGCCCTTTCCTCTTGTCCTGTCCCTTGTCCCTTGGGAGCAGAGCCCGACCCCCCCCTGGCTCCAGGCTCCTGTCAGGAGCTGTGCAGAGCCAGAAGGTCTCCCCTGAGCCTCCTTTGCTCCAGGCTCAGCACCCCCAGCTCCCTCAGCTGCTCCTCCCCACACTTGGGCTCTAGACCCTTCCCCAGGTTCATGGCTCTGTAGTCTCCCTCCAGCACCTAACACACAGAGTAGAAGGAGCCAGTAGAGCTGTGTTGTAGGGAAGCCAGTCCTGTGTGCCAGAGGGTCACATGTTCCTGGGGTTTCTTTCAGTGGAAAGCACTAAAACCATGGAAGTCAGAGCCTTGTATATTGTCCAGACAGAGCAGAGATTAGGCTGGGCCCTGCCTGGGATGGGTTTTAGCAGCTTGGTCTTGTGCAAACTGTTTTTTCTCCTTTGCAGAATGGGAGAAGCCAGACTTTGTTCAAGTCCTTATACACTTCCTATATGTAGGTGTCTACATGTTGTCACCCAAAAGCAGGGATCTTTTCTGAAGGAGTGAGTGAAGATTTTGGATTTTAGGGTGAAACCTGCCCATTCCCATAGGTTTTCCTCCCAGCTGCCCTGCTGGGATGAAGCCCTCTCAGCTGCAGGCACCCAGCCATGTAACTGTTCTCTTCAAGGGTGTTTTACTCCTAGGTAGGAGTTGCTGGAGAGTATTCTGGGGATTAAATTTTACAGTACTGAATTTCTGTGCCAGTCCCCATTTCTTGCCTGTCTTAAAAAATCTATATCTGCTTGTGCTTTCCAGGGCAGTAGTGGGAATAGTAGAAATTTATTCAATCTCAGGATCTCCTGTCTTGTAATAAAGCAGGATGATATCTGATAACTCTTCTCCTCTTCCTCCCCTTTCTGCTTCAGATGTTTTTGCTCTCACTAGTGAACTCAGATGCATAATATAATCAGTGGTTTTCAAGCAGATAACCCTTAGTCTTTGAAATAATGTAAGTCTTGGAGGTTTTCTGTATTCTCTGAAGGTAGATAAATTTTATACTAGGGTGGCTGGTTTTTTCCTTCTCACTTACTTGGCAAGAAAGTGAACTGGAGTCAGCATAACATTCCCTGGTGGCTCCTGGGGTTAAACCTTATCTAGGAATGTATAAGGGATATAGACTGAGAAGTAAATACTGTGCTTTGGAGCTCAGTTCAAATATTTTAGCAGTGGCCTCAATGAAAATGGCTCTAGAAATTCAGTTCTTTTCAGTCTGAAGCATGTTTTAAGGAAAAAAAAGCTGGAGTACTCCCAACATATTGGTGTGGTTTAGTCTGAATGCAGTTTACATGGGTGGCAGTTCATCAGTCTGGTCTTTCCCTGGTAGATTCATGGCTTTTGCTGCTGTTTGCCTTGCTGCTTCTTTCCAACTAGAGACTCTACCTTGTAGTTCATAGATCTCTGCTCTTCCATTCTGCTTTTAGTAGAAATACTTCTAAAACTTGAGGAAACTCTTTTAAACCTTTGCCATGCCATTATTCCCTACAACTGTCTCCAGAAACAAAAGCCTGTCCAAAATTTCTTTGGATTTTTGGTATTATCTAAGATGATTTTATAGCTTGCAGGAGTTCTTTTTTTTTAATATGGACACTCAATAAATCTTATCAAGGTGCTCTTTAAACATTAGCACATAAAATAAGACAATATTGCAAGTTTTAAGTGTACACGAGTTGATCCATTTGTTGTTCTGAGGATGGGTTTGAAGTGTGTGACTTTTTGATTCTTCCTTCCTTTGGGGGTGACTTCTCTCTTTGGTTTTCCCCATTACTCTTCTGGGAGACTTGGCTCACAGAGCTTGAAGGCTGGAGGAGGAAAAACTGATTTGGTTTTATTGAGTTGGTTTTACCCCCTCTCTAAACTGCTGATGCAGGTGATGAAATCACAGAATCTCAGCACATTAGAGGTTGGAAGGGACCTCTGGGGATCATCTCACCCAACCCCCTGCTCCAGCAGCTCACCCCCAGCAGGGTGCCCAGGGTCACAGCCAGGAGGGTTTGGGATCTCTCCAGAGCAGGAGACTCCACAGCCTCTCTGGGCAGCTGCTCCAGGCTCCAACACCCTCACCCCAAAGAAGTTTCTCCTCCTGCTCAGGTGGCACCTCCTGGGTTCCAGTTGGTGCCCGTTGCCCCTTGGCCTGTGGCTGGGCACCACTGAGCAGAGTCTGGCCCCAGCCTCTTGCCCCCCGGGGCCCTTGAGCTCTTGCTCAGCACTGCTCAGATCCCCTCTGAGGCTTCTCTTCTCCAGCTCAGCAGCCCCAGGGCTCTCAGCCTGGCCTGGCACAGAGATGCTCCAGCCCCTCAGCAGCTTCCTAACACACCTTGAAACCTCATTCTCCACCTCCTCCCACCACATTGCAATATAGAGGCTGGGTGAAAGGAGAGGTGCTCAAGCAGCAGTGGCAGGACACCCAATTCAGACAACACATCATAAGCTTTACATTAACATACACTGCAGCCCTGGAGGAAGATAATTCTTTGGTTTGGGCTGTGGTTTCAGCAGTAGTCAGGTTACAGTGGTCTGTCTCCCTTGGGTTGTGCTGTAGTAATTCTCTGTGTGTTGTCTAATCATAACCCAAAAGTAAGTAAAGTCTAATGCAACCTGCAGGTAATTCCCAGCTATCAATCACTCCTGCTTCCAATATAAGCATGGCAAGTGCCCAACTTCTTATCTCAGTGCTGAGTGAAAAGCAGATAGCTGAGGATTCATCTGAGATCCATACAGGACAGGACAGGGAGTGTGTTGAAAGGTCTAGGAGTCAAAATTACTCAGTGCTGCTTGGAAGATGTGCTGGGAGAAGTTGTACTGCTGTGCTTGGCCTATCAGGTGAATGGAACAGAGCAGCATCATTTGCTAAACTTCATTTGCATTATTCCATCCTGGGAAAGCAGTGTAGCACAAATCCAGAACCTGCATCAGGAGCTTGTAAGAGATCTAAGATTCTCCTCACTTCTTTTGTTTTCCTTTGTCCTTTCTGCAGCTGTCCCTCTTTGACCAGTTTGCACATGCTGGTGTTGATGTTCCTCAGGCTAAAGGGTCTTCAAGGTGTGCAAACGTGGCATAGCAAATGTGTGCTTGTAGGAAAATGACTTTGGAGCAGTGAGCAAAAGTTCAGGTCTTGCAGAGTGTAAAACTTGACCTGAAGTTAAAATGGGAACAATTTGTGTCACAACAAGCACGGAGGAGATGGGATTGTAAATTGTCTGTTTATTCCCCCTCCAGTGAGCAGCAAGTTTAAGTATCTCCAGACATCTTAAAGAGGGAAAATGGAAATAAAAAGGCAGCTTTTATAGGAGGCTTAGGATGAGGTGAATGACATTAGGAAATAGGGATAGGAAACCTTTCTGTCTTGTCTGGAGAAAATGACATGTTAAATCTATCAAGGTGATAATGGAGAATAATGCACCAAATACAAGAGCTGCATTAGAAATTGACTGTGCCCATCTGCTGTGGTGAATTTTCCTTCCCATTGTTTTATTTTAACATCCAAATCCTGTTCTCTTCACCCTCAGCCTGCTGCTTCCCCTCCACTCTGAGCAAGAAATAGCTCCTCAAGCTTTGCAGCACATGGAGTGTGGTCAGGGAGGGGTCAGCTGGGTCACCCTCCCTGCCCCATCTGCACCTCTTGGGAGCATCAACACCAACCACGTAGAGAGAGAACTAAATTTGGGTGCTTAGAGCTCAACTGCACCCTAAACATACATAAAATTGTGTCTGCATTGCCCCTTTTCTTGCCAAGACTATCCAGGGCTGAATGTTTTCACTCTGTGCACTGCCAGACTTACTCAGGATGGGGTTTGTGTATTGATTTACTGCAGGGATTATCCTGAACCTTCCTGACCTCATTGCTGAAGCCTTTTTCCCTCCCAGGTGTATTCAAAACATAGCAAGGCTTCTTTTTTTTCACTGCCCTCCACTGTTGGAGTGTCTGTGACCTCTAAATAACATTTAGGC